GCTCTCCCGCCTGAATTCTTGCGGGAGGGCCTAGGCCCTGCCCAGGATGAAATGACAGTTACTGGAGATCCACCATGGAGTGCCTCACCCTCCTTGGGGATCAGAGTGGAGACTGGGTGGGGGACTGAGGGACCTGCTGGGGAGGGTAGGGGAGGAGGAGAGGGAGAGGGAGCTAGGATTGACACGTGAAACAAAATTGTTTCTAACTTAAATTAAAAAATTAAAATAAATAAATAAATAAATTGGTGTTTGTCTGTTGGCTTTGCAGCTGCACACAAGTCTACTAATAATTTAGTTATAGTCTGTAGCCCCACAGCCCAGCAGTAAGCACCCCTCTGACTACTCAGGCCATGGCCTGAAAACAGCTTGGTATTGGCACAAGTAGACCAATGGAATAAAATTGAAAACACTAATATATACCCACACACCTATGAACACCTGATTTTTGACAAAGAAGCTAAAATTATACAATGGAAAAAAAGAAAACATCTTCAACAAATGGTGCTGACATAACTAGATGCTGGTGTGTAGAAGAGTGCAGCTAAATCCATATCTATCGCCATGCACAAAACTTAAGTCCAAATATATCAAAGACCTTAACATAAATCCAGCCACACTGAACCTCTTAGAAGAGAAAGTAGGTGGTATCCTTGAACCAATTGGTACAGGAGACGACTTCCTGAACACAACACCAGTAGCACAGACACTGAGATCGACAATAAATGGAACCTCCTGAAACTGAGAAGCTTCTGTAAGGTACAGAACACAGACTACAAGACAAAATGACAGCCCGCAGAATGGAAAAGGATATTCAACAACCCTACATCTGACAGAGGGCTGATTTCCAAAATATACAAAGAATTCAAGAAGCTAGTGACAAAAAACACCAAATAACCCAATTAAAAATTCTCAATAGAGTCGGGCGGTGGCGGCGCATGCCTTTAATCTAAGAGCTCAGAATCACAGACATAAGAAGAATTCACAACTTGCAATGTGAATTTTCAAGAGGGAAAATTCTTCCTTATTATACTGCTTGTGACTCTGTTTTCAGTGTTAGTCAAGGCATTCTAGACTCTTGTCACCTTTGGCTCCCATACTGTCTTAACTGCACACTAGATGTGCTATAATTCTGGACAGTCATTGAATAATCTTAGAATCCATCTGAATGCATCTGATTGTCTAAGTCATGGCCAAAGGCTTTTAAAATTATTGCATATTTTGTTTCAGGTATACTCATGCATCCCTTTCTGGGTGATAGACAGCATGTAATAATGTGAAAATGCACAAAATTTAATACATTGTTATGTGACAAAATACAATCCTTTGTCACATGGTTAATGTGACATGGTGCTGAATGCATTTTGAAAGTGTCCATCTGTATCAACTTTTTTGAAATGCCTCCTTTTTCACTTGAAAAATATGAAATTCAGTTTTAGCCACTTATTTGAAGTCTTATAATATGAATGATGCTAAAAGCACAATCTTAATTGGTAGGCACCCCAAGTCCAGGATTTTTATGTTTTATTATACAAAAGAATGTAATAAAAATACATTATTAATTCATTGATGCCCAACTTTATGTTGAAATTGAAATAGCAGTTGCAGTGTAGAAGTCATACTGAAAGTCATTGCCCAAGCAGACTCAGTGTCTCAAGGTTTCTCCCTGGAGTCTCAAAGTCTCTTAACATCTAGAGATAATATACCTGTTTATTTCATATTGAGATGGATAAAGAAATGTAAGCATTGAAATTGATTGATCATCTTGTGTTTGTGTGGACAAATTAATGGGGGTGCACCTGCATACATGTGCATACGTTTGTAGAGGTGAGAGATGTTCATGATAGGTTCATTTCGTTGTTATATTTTAAGACAGGAATCTCACTGAACCTGGAATTTATTATTTCAGCTGCATTGGCTGACCATTAAGTCTCAGAGAGCCCTCTATCTCTGCTGACCCAGGCTGGGAATACAGACACCAATGTTTTCATTTGGGTCTGTGGGGTCTATCATAATTTCTCATGATTGCACAGCAAACATTTTACCTACCAAGTCTTCTCCTCAACTCCTCAGCCTAATTTTAAAATAAAATAGCAAAATTTAATCTTGTTCTAAATTTTTTAACTTAATTCTATAAGATTTAACTTAATTCTTGTAGACTGGCAATATTGGAAGTTAGTGGGACCACTAAGGGGTGGAGCATAATGGAACGTCCTTAAGTTAAGTAAGAGTGTAGTCTTAGGAAGGACTGGTGAATCCATGTCTGACACTGGCTTTCTACTTTGTGAAACAATCTTTTTCCCTATCTCTCCCAATTCTGCCATCTATCTAGAGCCCTTTCAGCCTCTAAAGCCACCAACTCAATAAGCCATTTGTCTTTTATTATTAACTTGCTTCAGGGTGTTCATCAGTTTGAAAAACAGACCAATACTGGCCTGGTGATATAGTTCAGAGGAGAACACTTGCCTAGCACACAAGCCCTGGGTTCAGTGCTCAGCATCAAAATCTGCAAAGACTTACAATGGTACTTTACACTAAATGAATATACACTTCTTTAATATCTGTACTTGGCAATGATTTGGCTCTTTCTTGGTAATATGGACCTGATGTCATAAAGAGCACACGTTGTTAAGACCAGTGCTACTATGTAAGAACACCCAATGCTTTTTTTCTCTCCCCTCATCTTCTCTGGCCAATTTCTTTCTCTTGATATTTTTATTGAAATATAACTTACACACAATAAAATTCACATTTAAAGACTTTCAGTGGATTTTAGTTATTTCTACAAAGTTGCACAAATGTCAGAACTATTTAATTCTGACTCATTTCCATCTCTCCAGGGAAGCAGCCATTCTGTTTTATTCCGTGGTAGCACTTGACATCCGCTACTTTCCATCTCTGAAATTGTTTGCTCATTATATGCAGTATTACAAATCCTGTTTTAATATTTCATATAACTGGAATCAAATAACTTTTATCATTTGCTCCATGTAGCCTAATGGTTTTGTGTTCCACTTAGCATAATGTTTTAAGGCTCATTTATATTGTCATATGAATCAGTATCCCAGTACTCTTACCACTGAATAGTAATATGTTATAAAGCTATGCCACATTTTGTTGATCTACTCATTAGTTGATAAATACTTCAGTTGTTTCTGTAATCAATACTATCAGCATTTATGTATAAATTTTCTTATGGACATATTTTCACTTCCCAAAGGTGGATGGCTAGAAGTAGAATCATTGGATCCTTTCTAGCTGTATTTTTATTCTTTTGGGAAAGTATCAGGCTATTTTCTCATCTATTACACCATTTTATGCTCCTACCAGCAAGTATAAGAGCTATCATTTTTTCATATTCTTATCCTTATCATCACTTTTGATTGTGCAGTTTCTATCAACCTCATATTAAATAGTATCTTATAGTCATTTATTTCCAAGATTAGTAGGATTATTTTCTTAGAATGAAGAGTATTCTAAGGATTCTCATTTTCAGTTCTAATATAAACACTGTTAATGTACTATTGCTATTATTACCGTATTTCCATTTTCTCGGTACCATTCTTTGTTCAGTAAAATGAAACTCATTTCAAATCAAAGGAGTCCCTTTAGTGGCTTTGTTAACACTTACAGCCTTCACTAGCCTCCTACTTGTTTGTCTCTTAGCTCTCTCTACATGAAGTCAGGAATATCATCTATAAGAACAAGGTTCCTATCAGCTTTATTTTTGTGTGTTCATGGTTTTTGAAGTTCTCTGTGTAAATGCACCAAACAGTGTGTAGTGGCAAAGACTCTCTATAGCGAGCATGTTTGGCATGGGGGTGTCTTACTTGCTTATAGTTGCATAACATAATATCTCATTTTTCTCTTGCATCTCTCCCTCCCTCCCTCCCTCCCTCCCTCCCTCCCTCCCTCCTTCCCTCCCTCCCTCCCTCTCTCCCTTGGTTTTTCGATACAGGGTTTCTCTGTATTGTTTTGTAGGCTGTCCTTGAACTCTGAACTCATAGATATCCACCTGCCTCTGCCTCCCAAGTGCTGGGATTAAAGGCGTGCACCACCAACGCCTGGCTCTCTTGCTTATCTCAGAAGGAGAGGCATTTCATCTTTAGAAAAATACATTTCATTCTTTGACATATTAAGATGGAATTTTACTGTATTGAGTACAAAATTGTATTACACATCATCAGAAAGAGAAAAACTGGATCTGAGAGTCTGAGATTATGACACAATTAAGGGTGAATTCTGCCATTGACTTGTAATTTTACTTTCATGCATCTTTTAGCTAACTTTTTAGCATTTTGAGGTGCTAAGCCTCACTAAGAGATAAGGCAGAAGAAGATGTTCTTAAGATTTCCTTGTGGAATAACAGTTTCTTTCTATATTTCATCGAGGATTCTTCAATAGGAGTATTTTCTCCTATTGCTTATTCCTAAAATTGTTATATGTAATGTTTTTATTACTAAGAATACCACATTCAAATGAATTAAAGGGAAAACTACAGGTATCAAGCAAAGTAGTAGCATACTGATGTGTTTAGGATACAAGTTTTTGCTGTGTCATAAATTTTTTTGTGTCTATAGCATATTTCCTTCAAAAACATCTGGTGTGCCTGTGTTATTTGTAGTTACATTTTGATTTTGGTTCCTAAGAGTAAGTTCTACCTTTTCAAGTCTGTGTTAACAGTCACTAAAGAGAGGACTGTCCAAACACTTTAATTTATAAAACAATGTGCTTGCTAAGATTTTAGACTTATCCAGGAATTTAGCCTCCAGTGAGTAACCATATTTGAACAGTTGTTTCTCTGGATTAAATAAAAGTTGGTTGGAAAAAGAATTTTGGGTTTTAATTTTGTACAATGACTCTCTATAAGGGTGCTAACTGAAATTGTGTCTGGCTTCCTGTGCCTTGTTCTGAACACTGCAGATATGTTTGATACTGGCTGGATGCAGCCACTGCTGATTCATTACTGATTCCTTTCTCTTTTACTGTGTTTATTTCTGCAGGATGTTTTTACCCCAGAATGCAAATTTAAGGAGTCTGTGTTTGAAAACTACTATGTGATCTATTCTTCAACCCTGTATCGCCAGCAGGAATCCGGGCGTGCATGGTTTCTAGGACTCAATAAAGAAGGTCAAATCATGAAGGGGAACAGAGTGAAGAAAACCAAACCCTCATCTCATTTTGTACCAAAACCTATTGAAGGTATGAAAGCAACTTTTCTTCCTGGCCCTGATCTATGTGCTGGGAATGGTGATCTTTGTCTCCTGTTCTGTAGACTCTGCCTGTGGTGAAGTGATGGGGCAAAGATTCAGAAAATAATAGGAACTTTCCTAGCAAATATGTGGTACCTAGAAAAGATGTACTTGAATATGGAAGCTAGAAAATTCCTGAATATAGAAAATTAGTGCCATGCTGGGTGGTGTTGGCATATGCCTTTAATTCCATTCCTTGGGAGGCAGAGGCAGGTGAATCTCTGTGAGTTCAAGGCCAGCCTGGTCAACAAGAGATAGTTTGAGGAAAGGCTTGAAAGCCATGCAGAGAAACCCTGTCCCAAAAAACAAAAAAAATTAATGTCAGTTACCATTTGGAATATAATTTCCTTCCTTGTTGAACACTATTCCATCTTTTAGAATACCTCTGAAAAATACTAATACTATTATTACAGAGCTTAATTTTTCCAAGTAATTTGATTCATATGTGTAATGCTGATCTCTTCATCCTTATGAGAAAAATCTAATAACATTGTTTATCAGTTTTCTTCATATTTGTAAGGAACAAAAGAGTATTATTTTGTTTGATCTGAAGTCTTCCCCTTCTCATTTAAGCCTAAAAGTTGCCCTCTTTTTATCACTTAAAATAATGTTGACTTCTTTCAAACGGGCAGAGAAATAATCCTTTTGAGGGAAACTATTATTTTCCTCAAAAGTTCTCTACCTAGGTTGTTGAGTGATCATATTTGCAATGCAGACCAGAGAATAATTTTATTTGACACTTACATTATAGCATTATTCTCTGGAAACTAGTATAGAAGCTTAAAATATGGCTCAGTCACCTTTTCTAAGGAAATGAAACCATTGAGACAGTGCACTGCAACCCTGACTTAGATTGACTTGCTCTCCTATAAATGTTGTAGATGTCTGTCAGTTGAAAAGTATGCATCATGCGAGCTGCCCAGTGTACACACAGTAAGTGTGACTATAGCAGACTGTAGCAGTCAATCACAATCTATCTCATATTATGTTATGTTTAAAATGCTGGGTGGAAGGTGACAGTCACTACCTCTAATGCCTCTTGAGCGTTTTCTCATACCTCGAGTCTTTAGTCATGTGAAACTGAGTTTGTACTGTGGTTGGCCTCCTGCTTTCTATTCCACCGGTCCTAATTTTCATCCACACATCTGCTTATTAACCTTTGCAAAGTAGGATTTAGGGGCCCATACTTCTGTTATTATTTTTCTTTGACTTCTTTACAGAAGAATTAAGCACTATTTCTTGTATCTTCTATATATATTTTCTGCTGATCATGTTGTACTAGATAGGCCTATTGTCCCACTGTCTCTGTACATTCATGAGTAACTCATTCTCTGAATGAACGATATTTGCTTTTTAGCCACATATTTCTTTTTTTTCATGTGCACTATTTAGCATGTCATAAAGAGATACTTGATCAGTTCTCAGCTGGATAAGTGAACATGTGTGGGACCAAGTAAGCACAAAGACTAAGAAGTATATTTTCCAGAGGATATATTCATAGAGGTATGAAATATGGCAACAGTGTACTGGAAAACATAGTGCATTTCATGTTGTTGATTTATTATTGGAATTATAAAATGTATTGTCATTTCCACTGAAAGGAATACATCATTAAGGACTAGGCCAGACTCATACAATTGGGAACAAGGAGGAATCTCCCAGACAAAACCATTCCATGTACACTATAGTTAACGACAGAAATATGCCTGCTTTGTAAGGATGAGTAGAAGATCCCTATGAGGTAGATAATACTACTATAGGAAATATACTCATGCTTTGGCAAATAACACTTTCAACTCCTGTATCATTTTTAACAGTTAAGCTGATGTATTCATTTTTTTTGCAACAGTGGTACAAGACCATTAGCAAACTTTGGTAGAGTAGAAAATATGTTAAAAAATCAATTTTTATTTATTCTTTATGTAGATAGTATAGTCCTGTTGAACCCCTCATACTCCAGTCCCCCAAAGGAAACATTTATAATCTGCCTCCTTAATTGGAACTGTTTCCTGTACTCTAGTTGGTTGAGTTTCCTCTTGGGGCGAATGGCCTTATGTACATGTCAAAAAGAAATGTGTGGGATGACTGTACTCAGAGTCCCAGACACACTTTAGTGTTCTGCTTATTGCTGCATTTTGTATAAATAAGGGAAGGTACAAGGAGATTCTTACAGTGCTATAAACTAGAATTAAGATTGATCTCACACAATACATGTAAGTTGCAGGTTGGTCATGCTAGTTCTCTTAGAAAGTAAATCTGGGGGTGAGCTCTCCAGAAATGGTGCCCTGGTAGCTCAAACTGGGGACCTTGGCAGCTTGACTCTTTCACATTTTTCATCTTAGTGTCTTGCTGTGATTCCTTAGATCTGCACAGTGCAGCCAGAATGGTACACAAAATATAGCTCCATGTAGAGTGCATGGCAAGACCTGCACATTGCACTCCTGTCAAAACTACACACACTGTGTGTGATCCTGCTAGCAGCATTAACAAGATGAAGTAGAAGAAGAGATTGAAAATCTATGCACGTTTTCATGTCAGCATAGTCTCCAGTAGTTGCCACACATTCTTATCACCTTAGTGGCAACACCTAGGTTGTTACTCATACTTAGGTACAGAGGACATGAACCTTTTGATGGTCTGGGCTGACAGTGGTAGAATGGCTACTAAGGTATCAGTTTCTGCTTCTGAATTTCACCTTCTTCACTTTAGAATGCCTCGTGTTCCCTTACTGGCATTATTTTAGTTGTTTGTTTTAGTTTTGCTTTTACTTGTGAATTATGAGGATTTCTCCCTTTATACTGGGAGGAAAATAACATCTGTTATTAAATCAGATTCACTAATACTAGAATTTAATTCCAAGGTTCTTTTCATGGTTCGTTTGTGGGAAATAACTCTCAGGTGTGAAATACAAAGAACATGATGAGACTCACTTTTGAAGACTAATATTGTTAAGTTTTATGATTTTTTCTTCTAGTTGGCATTTTAAAGTATGCCTTGCTGGTCATTGTTGGCACACACCTTTAATCCCAGCACTCAGGAGGCAGAGGCAGGTGGATCTCTGTGAGTTTGAGGCCAACCTGGTCTACAGAGTGAGTTCCAGGACAGCCTCCAAAACCATACAGAGAAACCCTGTCTCAAAAAGCCAAAACCAAAAAAAAAAAAAACAAAAAAAACATAAAATAAAGTATGCCTCAATTATTTTCTCATTTTTATTCCATTTATATGAAATAAGTTCTAGTATAATTTGCTTCACAAATGTTGGATTTGGAGTAAAAAAAGACAGTGTGTAATTAGTCCCAAGTCATTGAATCAGTGAGTAAAAGAGCTAGAATTCACACCCCAAGCACTCTGACTCAAACAGGCAAGTGCTGAACTTTCATGAACATGGGTAAGACAGGCTGGTCTGAAGTCAGAAAGCCTGTAGATGTTCTTGAATTACTAGGCAAGAGGGCTCAACACTTTTGCTGTTGCTGCTGCTGTTGGTTTACAGACCTCTTTATCTATGTACACAGCACCTCCTGCCCTGGCTGGCAGTAGACTGCTTTGCCATAACACATGCCTTTAATAACATTCCAAACTGTTTTAGGAAATAGAGGTGGTGTCTTTTGCCCAGCATTTGCTGAAAAACAGCTTGTGTTCGGTTCCCCCATTTTCCAGCTTCATGTTGCTTTCTGCAAGCAACATGAGTGCTGCAACACTCTTGAACATGTCTACAAATGATTGCATCTCCTTCCTTTCTCCTGGAATGTAGCACAGCATAGAAATAAAACTCACAGATCCTTGCAGAGATTCATGCTCTTAAACATAACTTGCTTGCCAGGTGATGGGTACATGCCTTTAATCCCAGTAGTCAGGAGTCAGTGGATCTCTGTGAGTTAAAGGACAGTCTGGTCTACAGAGCTAGTTCCAGGACAGCTGGAGCTGTTACACAGAGAAACCACATATCGAAAAACAAAACAGAAAAATTATTTTACAAACATAAGTTGGTCAAGTCCTTTATGCTTATACTGTGCTATAATTGTCAATATACAAAATTTGAACCATTTTCCATCAATTCTGTAAGCAGCTATGTTTTATAACATTATGTTTCTATTTGTAAGAAAGGTAATTGAGGTCCTGTTAAGCTTTATTTTTTATGTGCATCAGAACTTTTTCCTTCCTGCTGGCTTTCCAAGTTATTCTTGCAAAATATCAATTTAGTATTCACTAGGCAGGTTATGTATACTATTGTATTTCAAAGAACTGCAATAGCCCTAGGTTACTCTTATTTTATAGATGAGATGACTAATATCTAAACAAATTATATAAAGCATTCAAGATCACAAATCTAGAAAACCACCACAGTGAGATTACAGTCCAGCAAGTCCAATACCAGTGAGTAAGCACTAGCTCTACATTATGCTTCCCTACAATTGGGAATAAGCTATGAATATCTAGCTACCCAGAGAAGTTACTGGTAATGAGATGGTGATCTAGAAATGCTGTACTATGTGTTAGTTGTTTTTCTGTTGCTGTGATAAATCACCATGAGCAAGGCAATTTACAGAAGACTTTATATTCATTTATGGTTCTTGAAAGTTAGAGTCCATCATGGTGGTGACAGCATGGCAGCAGACAGCAGGAATGGTAGGCTGAGAACTCACATCTTGAATTGCAAACAGAAAACAGAAGAAAGCAAATCCGATATAGGGCAAGGCCTTAAACTCTGAAAGCCCACCCACCCGTAGTCACATTCTTCCTTCAGCAAGACAGCACCTCCCAAACCTTCCCAAACACCATCACCAACTGCAGACCAGGTGTCCAAATGACTGAAACTATGGGGCCTATGTCTCATTCCTACCACTATACACCATGTTAAAAATCACACAGTAAATTGGTTTTAAGCCCAGCATAATTAAGACAATTGTTTATGAAGTGATATAGAAACACATATTGAAGTGCTTGGGACCA